ATCTCCACCTTCATCCAATTTTCTGCAAAATCCATGATTTTGTTCTTCTCTATGGCTGCATAATACTCCCATCGTGTATATGTACCACGTTTTTTTATCCAGTTCACTTTTGATGGGTAGTAGGGTTGGTTCTGTGTTTTTACTATTGTGAGTAGTGCAGGTATAAACAAGTGTGTGCAGGTGTCTTCGGTAGAATGGTTTACGGTCCTCCGGGTATATTCCTCCGGGTATTGCTGACTTGTATGGAAGGACAATTTTTAGTTCTTTTAGGAATCGCCACACTACTTTCCATAGAGGTTGAACTTGCCTGCACTTCTACCAAGAATTTTCTTTTCTCCACACCCTCGCCAGCATCTGTTGTTTTTTGATTTACTAATGATGGCCAACATTACCGGAGTAAGATGGGAAAATCATTTCAGAATGTGATTCTTTCATTCATTCCCTCACAGCTTTGAGGGAACAATAGACCTAAACTCTGGAAAGCAAGAAAAGAGATGATAGCTGTGGAGTATGCTTATGGAATAATCAGATTGAAGGAAGGTCTCTAGGGCAATTGGCGTGGGGGGGAAGTGACTAAGGATAAGTAACATGATTGAGAGGCTAGGGCGCAATAAATTATTAGGGAAAATGATGGGAGACAATAGAAAGACGGCTCAAAAATCCAGGGAGAACTAAAAACCATACAAGAAAGTCATGGTTAAAATATGGGGACAACTGAACTTCAGCATGATTTTAAGCAGCTGATAAAGTCTAAGAAAAGACGGGGCAGCTGCTGCCATAATGCCACTGAGTGAGTCAAGACATTTTGATCTAAGCACAAAATTGAGGTTGCAATATTGATGGGAATGTTTTGTCATAATTCTTTTTATACGCCTGTTTTAAAATAGTTTCTCTCCACATATAAAATCACTCCTTTCTTGTTCATTACCAAATAATGTGCCCCAAATGCACAACTACAGTTTACCCCCTCCCAAATACCCTGTAAGTATGGGGGACCCTCCCTGTCTATTCACTTCTGTATTGCCTTAATATTTCACAAGTTATATGTTAGTGTTTATGATTTTTTGCAGTTACAGAGTTTCAATCTGTTAGAATTAATTTTGCTTCTAGGTATAATTTATTTTGTAAATCAGTCATCATATAATACCATCTTATACAATTCTTAGATGTAAGTATGATAGGTATTGAAATTTGTGAGTTTCTTGTACTGTCTGAAATTTAGAATATGGGATCATATCTGTCTTCTACTTCTCTGAGTGTCTTCTATAACACCCAGTCACTTAATGTTAAGACTCAGGAAACCTTCAGAAAGCAGTGGTGTCCTTCCTCTAGATATTCAGATGGAAAATAAAAGAGAATGTCATTGAGCTAATAAATCTTAATTGAAAGTAAATGGCCTTTTTATATGAAGTTTAAAACCTGGCAAAACAAATCTATGGTGAAATGGTTATTAATAAGGGCTGGATATTGACTGTGAAGGCCACATGGGGAAGACTTTTAGGATGCCAGAAATATTCTATATTTTTATCTTGGTGGTGGTTTTGTTGGTGTATACATATGTACAAGTTCATCAAAATGTACACTTATGACTAAAGAAAAAAGTGAGAAATAAGAGGTGCAGGCTACTTAAGGTACAAGTGCATTACTGGAGAATTAGCAGACATATCGCTTAACAAGAATGACAGCCCTTTTCCCCCATGTATTACTTTCTATAATAAAAAATATATAAAATTGCATTTGTTCAGATAATTATGGTATTAAAATTGAAGGGCTCTTTCTTTAGAGGTAATCACTATTAACATTTGTCTGTTCAGATCCTTTCTATATGTCCACTAACATTCTTTAAACATCCAGCTTTTTAGTTGTATCAAACTACATAATTCTGAAACTTGCTCTCACCACCCAACAGTATGTAATAGATATCTTTCAGCATCATATTATAGATTGATTCTTTAATGATTGTGTAAGGAGTTAGAATATACCTAGAACATACAGACATACCTTATTTTACTATGCTTCGCTTTATTGTGCTTTGCATGTATTGCAGTTTTGTTGTTGTTGTTGTTTGTGTTGGTAAGTTGAAGGTTTACAATATGCATGTGCTGGGCAAGTCTGTCAGCACCATTTTTTCAACAGCATGTACTCACTTTATTTCTCTGGGTCACATTTTGATAATTCTCACAATATTTCAGACTTTTAAATTATTATTATATCTGTTACAGTGATCTATGATCAGTGATCTTTGTCATTGTTTTAGTTGCCACAAACAGCCCCTGTAGAAGACAGCCAGTAAATGTTATGTGTATTCCAACTGCTCCAGCACCTGACTGTTTCCCTGTCTCTGCCTCCTGTCTGTCTGTCCATCTATCTGTCTATCTCCTCTCCCTCCCTCCCTCTCTCCCTCCTTCCCTCCTTTTCTCTTTTTCTCCCTCCCAACCGGCCATTTCTGTCTCTCTCTCACTCACGCCCTCTCCTCCCAGCCCCTTGGACCTCCCTATGCCTTGAGACACAACAGTATGGAAATTGGGCTGATTAGTAACCCTACAATGTATACCAATTATGCATCAATAAAAATAGGTATTACAATGACATCTAAGTATTCAAATGAAAGAGCCACGTCTTTACTTTAAATCAAAAGCTAGAAATAATTAGGCTTAGTAATAAGGAAGGCATGTCGAAAGCTGGGATCACGCAAAAGCTAGGCCTCTTGTGCTAAACAACCAAGTTGTGAATTCAAAGAAAAAATTCTTGAAGGTAGTTAAAAATGCTACTTCATTGAACACACGAATGGTAAGAAAGCAAAATGTCTTTGTTGCCAACATGGGAAGAAGTTTGAGTGAGTGATCTGGATAGAAGATCGAACCAGCTAATACATTCCCCTAAGCCAAAGCCTTAATTCAGAGGAAGATCATTTAATTCTATGTAGGCTAAGAGAGGTGAGGAAGCCGCAGAAGAAAAACTGGAAGGTTTAAGGAAATAAGCTGTCTCCTTTATGTATGTGAAAGTGCAAGGTGAAGCAGCGAGTGCTGATGTAGAAGCTGCAGCAAGTGATCCAGAAGGTCTAGCTAAGATCAGTGACTGAAGGTGGCTACAATACACAAAAGATTTTAAATGTAGACGACACAGCCTTTTTATTGCAAGGAGATGCCATCTGTGACTTTCAAAGCTCAAGAGAAGTGCTTGACTTTCAAGGACAGGCTAAATCTCTTTAGGGGCTTGTGCAGCTGGTGACTTTAAAGTGAAGCTACTGCTTATTTGCCATTCTGAAAATCCCAGGGCCTTTAAGAATTATGCTAAAGCCACTCTTCATGTTCCCTAAGTGAAACAACAAAATTTGGATGACAGCACATCTTTATGGCACAGTTTACTGTACTTTACCCACTGTTGAGCCCTACTGCTTAGAAAAAAGATTTCTTTCAAAATATTCCTGTTTATGACCTGGTCATCCAAGAGCCATGATGAAGATGTACAAGGAGACTATGCTGTTTTCATGCCTTCTAACACAGCTTGCATTGTGCAGCTTGTGGATCAGGGAGTAATTTTCTTAATGGCAACTAGACCATCTAGGATTTTCTGAGTGGTAAATGAGCAGTGGCTTCACCTTAAAATCACCAGCTGCATTAGTTCCTAACAAGAGAATCAACCTGTCCTTGGAAGCCAAGCACTGACTTATTTCTCTTTAGCTTTGAAAGTCTCAGATGGCATCTTCTTCTTATTTAAGAATACATTTTGTAAAGCTGTAGTTGGCATAGGTGATTTCTCTGATTTCTCTGATGGATCTGGGCAAAGCAAATGGAAAACCTTCTGGAAAGGATTCACCAGTCTAGATGCCATTAAGAAAATGTATGATTCATGAAAAGAAATCAAAATGTTAAATTAACAGAGGTTTGGAGGAAGTGGATTCCAACTCTCATGGATGACTTTGGAGGGGTTCAAGATTTCAGAGGAGGAAGTAGCAATGGCAACGAGATATTAGAGTATTACATAAACTTAGTTAGCAAAGTAGTGGCAAGGTTTTAGAGGATGGACTCCAATTTTGAAAGCAGTTTTACTGTGGGTGAAGTGCTACCAAATAGCATCACATGCTACAGAGAAATCTTTTGTGAAAGGAAGAGTCAATTGATGTGGCAGACTTGATTGTTGTTTCATTTAATGCATTTGCCAGAACTACCCCAGCCATTGAGGCAAGATCCTCCACCCACAAAAAGAGTACAGCTGGCTGAAGACTCAGATGTACCTCAGCATGTTTTAGCAATAAAGTATTTTTAGATTTAATATGTGTACATTTTTAAAGACATGATGCTATTGAATACTTAAAAGACAACAGCATAGTGTAAACATAGCTTTTATATGCACTGGAAAACCAGAATATTTGTATGTCTTGTTTTATTGCAGTAGTCTGGAACCAAATCCTCAATATCTCTGAAGTATGCCTATATGTAATATTACTTGTATAAATAATAATCAAGGGTAGCAGTTGAACAGCTAATTATATTATACAGGTGATATTACAAAGGAATTCTTAGGCTTTTTTTCTTTGTAGATTTTAGAAAATTTATTATCTATGACAAAGAAATCACCATTAACTGTCACATTAAAAAATAGCTAAGAGTGAGCTCTTTTTGGTTACTGACATTTACTTATAGCTCTCATATGTAATCATAATATATGTATGTAAAGCTATTAATATATGAAGGACAATTATCAATTCTGCAAAAGTTTGAATGTGTTAAAGTGTACAAACTATGTGACTCAAGAAAAAGACTGCTTAAATGTGTGAAGTACCGCATCCAGAGGAAAAAAATTTTCTGGAAAATTGGATGCACATACAGAGGAGAGTGATTATGGTGTACTCTTGGAAGATTAAATTTTAAGTATGTTGGATATAAGGTTGTCGGTATAATTTCAAAATTATTGACCTGTAACAGTCATTACAATTGAAAATATTTATTGATTGTTTTTTCTTCACTTCTCTGCTTCTCTTTTCTCTTTTGTTACAGATCATACATCCGTTGGAGGCCTGGGAGACAGTTTTTATGAATACTTGCTGAAAGCATGGTTGATGTCAGACAAAACAGACTATGAGGCAAGGAAGATGTATGATGATGCCGTCGAGGTGATTCTTGTCAGACTTTTTTTACTAAGCATATAAATATGCAGTCGTTTGATGATGACTAGATGAATATCTTAAAGCCATTTGAGACACTGAGGAAATGCATACAATACATATAAGCATTTTAGTATATTCATGCAGGATATCGTTTGTTAGTATATTAATTAAAAAGCCTTATTAAGTTTTATTTGTGCCATTGTGAATTAATGATTGAAAAAAAATGTAGTGTACTTGTGACATTTTGTTTTAATTACTTTTAGTTTAACGTCTAGAGAGGCTGGAAAAACTTTTGACTTTACATACTTTTTATAAACATGTCTTCTTTCAAACGACCACTTGACCCTACAGATTAAGAGCCTATGGGTAAATAACTGTAATAATGGCAGTACACTTATATAGTCCTTTCTGTGTGTCAAGCACTGTTCTAACCTTTTTTACGTATATTAGATCATTTAATCCTTATCATCATTTGACACATGAGGGCCTCATGGCACAGCGAGGCTAAGTCACTTGCTGAAGGTCACATAACTGATAAGTGATGGAGCCTAGAGCTGAACAGTCCTCTGCAGAGCCTGTATTTCTAACAACTGCATCATATCGTTTTATATTTATGTGACCTCGTACCATGGTATTTTAACAGTTGAGAAGTGGAACAAAGTTCATTCTGGAAAGCATTTATATGGGTTATAGCCAAGTAAAACCTGGGAAATAGAAACGTTTCAATGCGTGTTAAGTGAGCTTAATAGGTTATTTGCGTTCTGATTCATTATAAATCCATTATCCCCGATCAACTTTAATTCTGAAAAGTTGTATATTTTGTATATATCACCATTCTTATATAATCAGTAGTCAGTTTCAGAGTTAGGGTTTTGTTTTTTTCATTAAACCAACAATCTTATTACTCATTTTATATTTAGGGCCCTAATTCCCTATACTTGTTTTAAAAAATACACAGGAGTTACACTTAATAGCTAGGCCACAGTATTTTGCCCATTGCGGTTGCTCAATAAATGTATGTTGAAGAATTATATTAACTAATAAATTGAGATAGATTAGGGTGTAATGAAGGATATACATTTTAGTATGTGACTTCTAAAATTTTTTTTTTTGAGCTGGAGTCTCACTCCGCCTCCCAGGCTGGAGTGCAGTGGCATGCTCACGACCACCCCAGCATCTGCTGGGCTCCAGTGATCCTTCCGCCTCAGCCTTCCAAGTAGCTGGAACTATAGGCGCGCGCTACCACACCTAGCTTATTTTATTTTATTTATTTTATTTTATTTTAGAGATGAGGTCTTGCCAAGTTGTCCAGGCTGGTCTTGAACCCACGGGCTCAATCTACTCGCCTTGGCCTAAAATTCTTTATGAAGTTTTAAATTTTAAAAAGTTGGAAAGTTTTATTCTCTTGCATTAGAATTTAAACCTAGAAAGTCTTATGATCTAAGAAAGGTCATTATCTGGGAAAAATGTAATATTCTTAGAACCATAGTTTTGAAAATAGATCTTAGTCATTCCCACTATACCATGAGCTCCTTTGAAGGCTTAACTCATTTATCATTATTTATCATCATTATTTAACTCATTTATATTATCTACTTACTTTACTTGATTCATTTATCATTATTTAACTCATTTATATTATCTACTTAACTCATTTATCATTATCTCAGCACCTAGCACAATACCTGAAACATTAGTAGGTATTCAATAAGTATTTGATAAATGAATGAATGTGTTTAATATTTTTATTTGGAGGAAATGTGACATGTATACTGTGTAATAAATTATTTTTTGCTCTTGTAATACTCTTTTTTTTATTTTATTTGAGTTGGAGTCTTACTCAGTCACCCAGACTGGAGTGCAGTGGCCGCTCCGGGCCACCGCAGCCTTGACCTGCTGGGCTCCAGCGATCCTTCCGCCTCAGCCTTCTGAGTAGCCGGAACTACAGGCGCGCGCTACCACACCCGGCTAGTTTTTTGGTTTATTGTAGAGATGAGGTCTCGCCACGTTGCCCAGGCGGGTCTCGAACCCCCAGGCTCAGGCAATCCACTCACCTCGACCTCCCAAAGCATGGAATTACAGGCTGAGCCACCTAGCACAGCCTCTTATAATATTCTTAATCTAAAACTGTTTTGTCTTTTGCTTAACTTTGGCCAGTGGAAAAAAATTATATTTCCTGTTGCTTTGTTTATGGTATATACTTTGAAAGGCAGGATGCCTGTTTTGAAAGTTAAAACCTTATACATTAAACCAGTTTTTGTCATATGAGATAGAAAATAAGTGGTTAAGTACCTTACCATCACAACCTCGACTGACTGATTATTGTGAATTTTGTTTTGCTCAAGAAGACAAAGCCTGTAATAGGTAGTGTTATGAAGAAGATAATTTTCAGACCAACTCTCTCCTCTCCTACTCTGTCTTCTTGTGGGTGTGATTAGGGTGTTTGTTCCAGGTTTTATGCAATTTGATCACTCACTCCAAAATTTGCTTATTTTTTATTAAGTCTCTCAGTTTGGGAAAGTTACTACTTTGTAGTTTTATTATAGCCAGAAGGATATAGTGATTTGGAACACTAATGGTTTGCTTCCAAAATTTTGACTATCTTCTTTTTCCTATAGGCTATAGAAAAACATCTTATTAAGAAATCCCGTGGCGGTCTTGTCTTTATTGGAGAATGGAAGAATGGGCACTTGGAAAAGAAGATGGGACACTTGGCCTGCTTTGCTGGGGGAATGTTTGCACTAGGAGCAGATGGTTCCAGAACAGATAAAGCTGGTCACTATTTAGAGCTAGGGGCGGAAATTGCACGTACATGTCATGAGTCATATGACAGAACTGGTAAGAATATTAATAAGGCTAATTACTTGGTCTAAAATAACCTCTAAGTTAAGTATGTGCCCAGGAATTAGAAGAATATAGAAGAATATTAGAAAGCACTTTTCACTTCCAAATAATTTACACTAACACAGTAAATCATTTTCTTAAGAATTTGACTTTTAATTTTAGAAATGTGTTTCTGCATCGTTTTTAAGATTCTTAACTCTATTTTGTTAAAGATTTTGAAGCAATTGTTTTAAAGACAAGAGTTCTAGGGTGTTTGGGGGTGTATGAAATAACATTTATTTTAATATGATAAGAATCTATTTTAGCCATTCATTTCAGCTTCTATAAAACCAGTTACTTAAAAAAACACAAAATTGACTGACTTGGGTTATGCTGCCATGACTATCCTCTTCTTAAGAAAGAATAACAGGCCAGATGCTCAAGCCTATAATCCTAGCTCTTTGGGAGGCCGAGGTGAGAGGATTGCCTGAGCCCAGGGGTTCAAAACCGGCCTGGGCAACTAGGCGAGACCTTGTCTCTATAATAAATCAAAAAATTATCTGGGCATGGTGGTGCATGCCTGTAGTTCCAGCTACTTGGAAGGCTGAGGCGGAAGGATCACCTGAGCCCAGTGGGTCTAGGCTGCGGTGGCTGTGAGCATGCCACTACACTCCAGCCAGGGTAACAGAATGCAACTCTGACTCGGAAAAAAAAAAGAAAAGAAAGAAAGAGTAACAAAGATAATAGTAGTTATCCTTAATGTGTAATTAGCATCTAGCTGACTAATGGTTTGTCTATTAGTCAGTTCATCAGTAGTTTTTGGAATTGTTGTGCTGTTACCTAAAAAGATCTGCTGTTCCTGCATTGGGGAAATACTTTCCAAACATCAGTGTCCTTACCTGAAAAATGACATGATTCTTAATGGTGACAAAAATTAGTTTTTTGCTGAGTGTGGGTTAAAATACTCTTTTTATGCATAAAGCATAGACATACATGTAGTCATAACTAGATATATAGTGTGCATAGATATTTCAAAATTCCATGGAGGGAGAAGGCAATTAGATTTTTTAAAAGTCTGAAAAACTTCCTTAGGGATGCAATAATGAAAAAAGATTTGAAAACACTGGACTAGACTTTCCAGTGTTTTCTCTGGCTTTAAAAATATCTGTTTCTTCGATGGCTCAGCCTGTAATCCCACGCTTTGGGAGGCTGAGGTGATTGCCTGAGCCTGCGGGTTCGAGACCTGCCTGAGCAACTTGGTGAGACCTCATCTCTACAATAAATCAAAAAATTTAGCCAGGCATAGTAGCGTGTGCCTGTAGTTTCAGCTACTTGGAACGCTGAAGCGGAAGGATCGCTGGAGCCCAGCAGGTCGAGGCTACTGTGGCCGGGAGCGTGTCACTGTACTCCAGTCTGGGTGACAGAGTGAGACTCCAACTGAAAAAAAAAAAAAATCTGTTTGTATATGAAATAATGGATAACGAGTAACCTGAATAACGAGTAACCTAAAAACCTACTAATTTTTATTCGAGTTCAGAAGTTGAATTGTTGCATTTCTCAAATAACTGAATTCTGAATTTTTGTTTTAGGGTTAATTTATCACCAGTCACCATTGACACAAATATAATAGGCTTAAAATATAGCGTAGTTCATACGATTTTATTTTTATGTAGTAAGCAATTGAACTTATGAAATTAATCCTTCACTTCTCTCATTAACTAAATCAAGGGTTCCATTTCTTGAAAAAATATAACTAAGTCAAAAGGACATTGTAGGTGTGTTATTTTAGGGTGGCTTAAGCGTTGGTATGTAATAAAATCAATGATCTGAGTTACCAATAGGAGCTAAATTGAATTATTATGTTGATTTAGAATATCAATAATACACTTAAAATTTAGATAGAATTAATAAAACATTGAGGACCAGAATGAATATTCAGTTTCATATTAGGGTCCACGATAATAAGGATTGTTATTTTATAGATTTTGATCATAAATTCAATAACAGACCTAAAACAATAGAGTTGGATAACAGGCATCTGACAAACATGACATAGCATAGTAAGTATACTTATTTACTCCATTAAACATGGGACACCCATTATATGGCAAGTATTATGCTGCGTGCTTACAGGTTAACGTGTGAACAAGATGTTTTCCCTCCCTTTCAGAAATGTATAGAATACCAAAGTTATGAAAGGATTCCCTTACATTTCTGGCTTTCATGTTACATAATGACATTGCTGATTCTTGTTCTGATTATCATTTTCACATTGCAAATTGGGGAACCTGTGACCCTCTTTGTCATGGTAAACCCCAAAATGATTACTGTTTGATTTGTGTCCCGTATTTTTACTTTTTTAAAAAACTGTTTTTACTTGTCTATAATTTCAATTTAGATACTTTAATTAAAAAGTACAGTCCTAGTTTTGCTAACTTCACATTAGGTTAATTATATCCTCTGCTGTATTTTCTTAAAACTGTGCTATAATTTGGGCCACCATAAAATATCCATCCACTTTTTCTTAATAGTTATTTCAACTAACTTCATACTATAATTATTGCCTTAGAATTTCACTTTCTTTAGTTGTTGGAATTAGAATTGCCATTAAGTCAAAATTTGGTAATCTTAATATATTTCACCATATTGGTAAGCATGGCCTGTTTTAATATCCAACTGAGTTTGTAGGCAGCATTACTAAATCTGTTCGTGAAACTGAGCAGTAGCTCAACAGTCATTCCAAACATTATGCTATCTACATGGGAAGCTAGATTGATGGTTGATGTATTGTTTCAGTTTATTCTGAGACATGATGCAGAATCGATGCTAAACCCGATCTAGACTTCCAACATTATAGTACTTGTGTTTCTAGATTTCTTTTTTTTCAAAATTGCTGAACATTATTAAAATATTAACTGTTATGAGATGTAATGTACTTTACGTTGAAATTTGGTAAACTTCCTTCCCTAGACCACTTGCAATCTCATTTAAGGGAAAAAAATCTATTTAGATACCACCAATGAACAAAGGATCCATTGGGTATAGAGATGGAATATTGGCATATTTGAAGAGTTTCTATAACCATATTTTTCCTTAAAGGCAATTCATGGGAGGTAAGGATACAGAGAAATAGTTTAAGTTCTTTCCATTCAGATTATAGTCAGATTATTTTCCCCAGAATACTCCTTATGCTTTGTTCTTTTGTTGAATTTATTTTGTTTACTTGAGTATGCTTATTTTTTCATCTCCTTGGATTCTGCTCATTTTGGAGGACTTGCATGGATTGCAATTCTCCGTGACTTTACAGACTAATCTGTCTGTACCTTCTTTACAACTAACCTTTATCACGTTTGCGATTTTGCTATAATTAATTTATTTGTGCATCTCTCTTTTTTTCCTTACCTCTACCTTATATGATTTTTTTTAACCTCTAGAGTTATTTTTATAAGCACTAAGTTATTTATTGTTCTGACTCAGTTTTACTTGTTGGATCACTTTCTTTTTAAAAACAAAATGTTAAATATATTTGTTGGATTTAAAATAAGGAATAACAATTAAATGCAAGGTAGAATGTTATAAATTTTTGTTACCATATTTCTTTTTTGATTTTTTTTTTGGGGGGGCTAGAAATAGGTTACCCAGGCTGGTCTTGAACTCCTGGCCTCAAGTGATTCTCTCATCTTAGCCTCCCAAAGTGCTGGGATTAACAGGCGTGAACCACTGTGCCCTGCCCTACAGTATTTCTTAAATAAAAGCGCACTTAAGAAATAATTCCCTCGGAAACACGAGACCTATGTTTATCCATGCCCTAACCAATACTTGCCATCTCTTGTCTTGTTGGTAATAACCATCCTAACAGGTGTGAGGTGATATCTTACTGTAGTTTGGATTTGGATTTGAATTTTACCTACTGGTCATTTTTATGTCTTTGGAAAAATTGTTCAGATCCTTTGCACAATTTTAATTGAGTTATTTGATTTTTTGCTGTTGAGTTGTGTAAATTTCCTATTTGTTTTGATTATTAACATGTTATCAGATTGCAGGCTGTCTTTTCATTTTGTTGATTGTCTTCTTTGCTATATGGAACCTTTTTAGTTAGATGTAGTCCTACTTGTTTGTTTTTGTGTTTGTTACCTGAATTTTTGAAGTGATATCCAAATATCAATTCCAAGGCCAGTATCAAGGAGCTTTCCCTATGTTTTCTACTAGGAATTTTATGATTTCAAGTCTTTCTTATGTTTAGAGCTTTAATCCATTTTGAATTGAGTTTTGTGTATAGTGTAAGAATCCAGGTTTATTTTCTTGCATGTGGATATCGAGTTTTCTCAACATCATTCTAACCTTTCCTTATTGTGTCTTCTTGGTAGCCTTTTGAAAATTAATTGACCCTGTATATCTTATTAAATACAGAAAAAGCCCTTGATAAAGTTCAAAGTTTTTGTAATAAAAAACTCTCAACAAAATATGTGTAGAAGGAAACTTTTAAACATAATAAAGGTCATATGAAGAGCCCACAGCTAGCATCATAATGAATGGGAAAAAACTTTTTTTTCTTTTGATGCCTACTCTCACCACCTCTATTCTGCATCAGACTAGAAGTACTCGTGAGAGCAATTAGACAAGAAGAGAAAGAAAACGCATGTAAACGAGAAGGAAGTAAAATTATTCCTATTGCTGATAATCTGGTATTTTGTGTAGAAAGCCTAAAGACGTCACAAAAAGTCTATTAAAACTAATAAACAAATGTATTAAAGTAGCATGATACAAAACTGATACACAAAAAACAATTAAATTTCTTACACCAATAACAATCTGTCCCAAAAAATCAAGAAAATAATCCCATTTATAGTAGCATCAAAAAGAACAAAATACTTAAAAAGAAATTTAACCAAAGAAGTGAAAATTCTATATATTGAAATCTACAAAACATTGATGAAAGAATTGAAAAAGATGTTAAAAAATGGAAAGAAATCCTGTGTTCATGGACTGGAGGAATTAATATTTAAATGTCCATACTTCCTAAAGCAGTCTACAGATTCAGCACAATCTGTATTAAAAATCTTACGACATTATTTACAAAAAGGAAAAAAAATCCTAAAATTCATAGGGAACCACAAAAGACTGAATAGCCAAAGCAATCTTGAGAAAGAAAAACAAAGTTGAGACACTACAGTTCCTGATTTCTAATTATATTACAAAGCAATAGTAATCAAAATAGTATGATACTGGCATAGAAACAAACACATAGATATTATAATTTTAAAGCGGTTACTAAACACTAAGTTATTTATCACCCTATACTAGACCTTGTCAATAAATTGAATGGGAGTTTTCATACAAAGTGGTAATTTGTTGGCTCTTCCTAACCTCAGGTCTCTTTCAAGAGTTGGTCAAAGCTTCAGGGATACACACAAAGTTTTGCGTGTGATTTCAGAGGCTCTTGAATGCAGCGGTCTCCCTCTTGACCGTAGTATTCATGACCCTCAGGTTAACAATGCCTGCTTGTGTTCTGCTCCAGTTCTCTAAGATTTAGCTATAAACAAACTAGTTGCTAATTCTTCTAGATCACACTTTTTGTCCTTAATAGAATTATATACTATCAGTATGGTAGTTTTGGTTTTATGGTTTTTGTTGGGGGCAGCTAATTAAGAAGGGTCTGTTTTTATCTCCTTTGAGAGATTAGGTGGAATTTAAAAGTCCTACTCTTGTGATGCTGAAATTTAACCACAGCTACGGCATGATTTTATTTATGCTTCACTACCATTATAGTTCTTGTGCTATCCTTACTTTACTGAAAAAAAATGATAAATGTTCATTTCTCAAAAGAGGTGAGGGACCTTGAAACCTAACTTTTGCCACCAGTGCAATCGAATAAGAAAGAAAGGTGGCAGGCGAGCACTGTAATTTTGTGTGACCCCCCCCAACATCCCAGCTTACGGTGACCTTTTCTTGCCCAGGTTTAGGGTGTTGAGTGTGATTAGAAAGAGCAATATTGTGTGCTTCGGTAACAGTACCTGAAATTGGATATTTATTATAAACAGAAATGTGTTTCTCACCATTTTGGAGGCTAGAAGTCCCCGATCAAACCACCAGCATGTCGTGTCTGGTGAGCACCTTCTTGCTGTGTCCTCACAAGATAGAAGGTGGAAGGACAAGCAGCCAAACCTGCCTGAAGTCTCTCTTGCAATGGCCTTAATCCTTTTAATGAGGGAGAAGTCCTCGTGGCCTAGTACCACTGAAGGCCAAACCTCTTAATATCATCACACTGGCAACGCCTGAGCTTTGGAGGGACACATTCAAACCATTGCAAAGTCCTTGAAAAAAGCCTTATTATGTAGTGCTGAATACTAGAATACTAGTCTGAGTGGAAATCATCTCATTCAAGGAATAGAATGTAATACCGGAGTATATTGAAGCAATGGCCATGTTTTATTCCAACTGATAAATGGGCAAGTTACAGATGAAATTCTTGGTGATTAATAATTTGAGCCTATTCTTTGCTGGTTATACAGAGGCTATAGATAAAGACAGTTTATTTTTAAAGCTGGTTTAATTTTTAAAATATATTGTTTCTCACATATTATTGCTTGCTTTAAAAGTATATCTACAACTAAATCTAATTCATGATCTAAGGTCTAAAATGTTTTCTTATATGTATGTATTATAACAAAAAGTTTTTGAAATTATCTTGACTTTTTGAAAAAAATTCTGCACAGTATGATTATTATATAATTTTATTTTGGATCACAATGGACTATGTAGTGTACATGTGTCTAGCGTTGCATTTATTTTCAAAGACTTATTGGTAGAATTAGATTTAGCAGGATGTTGATATTATTCTGAGAAAGATTTTATGAGCGAATAATAGGAATATTTATAAGCCTATTATAAGAAAACCAAATTTGGATCTTTTAAAATGTCTCACTGAGTGCAGACAGCAATAACAAAAATAAAACAGCAAAACTCACTTTATCTCTTACACTGTTCTCTCAGGAGAGAAAAAAGCTCTTGCAAGCAATCATAAATGGTTTATTTTGCTCATTTATTTCTTTTGTCATGTTACAGCATTAAAGCTAGGTCCTGAATCATTCAAGTTTGATGGTGCAGTGGAGGCTGTGGCTGTCCGGCAGGCTGAAAAGTATTATATCCTCCGTCCAGAAGTCATTGAAACCTACTGGTACCTATGGCGATTCACTCACGATCCCAGATACAGGCAGTGGGGCTGGGAAGCGACACTGGTAAATAAGCCGATACTTCTTTTATCTGCAGAAAGCTAAACCAAGCCCTCCTCCAATGCCATATGTCCGCATTTTCAGTGTCTGTAGGGTGATTTTTGTTTATCTGATGAAGAAGCTCTGGAGAAACAAGATTCATTGTTGCCCTCTATTAGGACTGCTTTCCTGTCAGCATTCGCTCATTATTGAATAACTGTAAGGAGTTATTTAAAATGTAATTTTCAGCACAATTATAAAACAAATAGTTATAATTTTCTTTTCTGTCCTCTTCATGCTTAATCCTTGGGGAAAAAACGTCTTTGTACAATTCCCCAGTTTCACAGCCAGGGTAGAAGGCCCTCTATTCATTTTACCTTGTGCTCTGAGTAATTTCTTAGGAGGTCACCCTAAGAAACAGTTTTTTAGATTGAAAGATGAAATGTATATGTATTTTAAATGAGGAATGTTTAGTGGGTAGAAAGTAAAGGAAGCAAGTGGTTTACTCTCTTTTTTTAGATGAAAATATATAGTTTATTTAAAAGTAAAGTAGAGAGAGAGAAGAGAGAGAGAAGATTCACCTCCCCTAGGTGGGGGAGGGGGCCAAAGCCAGGAAACATGGCGACAGCCGTGACTCAGAGAGCACATGGCCACACCAGAGTCTGGCAAGGCAAGGACCCAGTTTACTCTTAAAATACTGTTCTTTCGGGGAACCCCATGGCTACCCCTAGGGAAGAAAAAACTGTTAGTCTTTTATGAAAGTATAGTGTATTCCCAGAGGAGAGGGATTGTTGTATTCTTTGAAATTTGCTAGTTACCATAAATAGTACTAATTATGGTGAAAATTCATATTCAAATTGTTTAACTTAAGCTTGCAGTCTCAATAGAATGACTGAGGACATCCTGAATGAAGTAAGTAGTACTGGTAAATTGCCCAGACAAGAATGTGCAAGAAATGTTTGAGGGCAGGATGTACGCCAATGTATGTAAAGAGAATGATTCACGGTAGCGGAGGGTGAGAAGGTCGGAGTCAATATGTAGACTGTCTTAAATGCCAATCCAAGGATAATTTACTTCGATATTCAGAAAATAAGACCCTCGCACTCACACTCACACACATACTCTTAGTAACTTCTGTCAGCAACTGCTTAAGTGCTTTCCTGTGGGAGTGATGGTTGAAAGTCCTTTGCTTATCTAAAAAGCCCTCAGAACTGATTCTTTTTTCCTTACCATCTCCTACCCACGAAAGCTCCCTGTCTTTGAGGATCCATTGCAAAACTACTAAAAGTTTTTGAAGCAGAAGGAGTTTCCAAGGCTGTTTTCAGTGGGGAGTAACAAAGCAAAAGGATCTGATTGTAGTCCACAAATTGGTAGGTTTTGGAGACCACACAGTAACCTAGGGATATCTTGGAACTAAGGTGAGGACACATACGTGTCATGTGTCATGCAGACCTAGATAGTCCTCATGGACTTTAACAATGAGAGAAGCCGGGCTCGGTGGTTCAGCCTGTAATCCTGCGCCTTTGGGAGGCTGAGGTGAGTGGGTTGCCTGAGCCCACGGGTTCGAGACCCGCCTGGGCAACTTGGCGAGACCTCATCTCTACAATAAATCAAAAAATTAGCCAGGTGTTGTAGTGCGTGCCTGTAGTTCCAGCTACTTGGAAGACTGAGGCGGAAGGATCGCCAGAACCCAGCAGGTTGAGGCTGTGGTGGCTGGGAGCATGCCACTACCCTCCAGCCTGGGCAACAGAGTGACACTCCTACTGAAAAAAAAAAAAAACGAGAGAATGTTTTTGTTTGTTTGTTTGTTTTGAGTCGGGCTCTGGCGATCCTTCCGCCTCAGCCTTCCGAGTAGCCGGAATTACAGGCGCGCGCTACCACGCCCGGCGGATTTTTTGATTTATTGTAGAGATGAGATCTCGCTGTCCAGGCAGGTCTGGAACCCGCAGTCTCAGGCAATCCACTCACCTCAGCCTCCCAAAGGTGCGAGATTACAGGCTGAGCCACCGAGCCCTGCTGAGAGTATGTTGATGGAAGCAAGGTGGTTACACAGGATAGGAACAGATGCAGCATTTATTGATGCGGCTTTCCCCAGCCTCTTGGGTCCAGAATTGGGAGCACAGCTGCTAGTGAAACTGCAGGCGGGTCCTGCCGCAGTTGAGAAAACAGCCAAGCTATTGCCACAGTGGCTTGGGAATAGGACCCATACTTCTGTTAGAAATGGTTGATTGAGGCTCGCTTAAATCAAGCAATATTTTAATAAAGGAAATAGGTAAAATAGTTGTGTGATGAATCTATTTGACTTGAATGTTCCCTGCTATTTAGTGACTCTTATTTAGAGAAATGAGGGTGATATATCTGAATCGTGGGGGCTGCAGTGTGGAAGGTGGTGGCGGAAGCACTTTTTGTCATTGAGAAAACACCATAGGACAATTTGTCCTTTCCCTGAGGTCCTTTTTTTTCCTGTGTGATTTCTTAAAATATGGCCCTGCTCTTACCTGTTAAAAGAGGCTTGACAGGCTCAACCTTTAGCCACGTCTGCCCAAATCTAATTTATAGGAACTAGGGTTTTGCTTTTGTAGCCTGTGTCGACACGCAGAAAGCATAATCTGCCTCGAACAGGAACTGGAATAGTTATGTCCGAATTCAGGTTTCAGAAGTGCGCCATGAGGAGCACGCGGGAGTGAAGGCCGAAGAGAAGGCTTTGCCTCTTAGTAGGTCTTGTCATGCACCCCCACTGGCGTCTCCTGCCAGGTGTGAAGAGAGCAGGGGCAGCGTCACTGTATACCACGTCTGCTGTAGTCTCAGCTGTTGGGCTTTCACAGGCTAACTTCCAATTTGAATGTATTATGCACAAACAGTTGCCCTCAGGACAGGAGCCGGAGTGTCTTGAAGATTAGTCATTCCTCCTCGCTACTTTCTCAGTGTTCGTAAACTGTTCTGATAGTTCGTGTGGTGGTAAAGACACGTGATCCCTGGAAAGAACAATACTTGAAACCTCTTGTGTCCAACATGTGTTTAAAATATTCAGAGAGAGAAAACCTTTAGGTAAGAAGGCTTTAAAAACCAGCAGTAATCAAAATAGAGCTATAAAACGAGCAGTTTGATTAAATAATCACTTTTTGGTGTTAATTAACTTTTCATTAGAAAGGAAGAAGATCGGAAAAATAGCAAGATTAGGAGCAACCAGCCACGGCAGCCAGAGATGATTAATTAACTATACCTTCATTGGATGATATCTCCAGATTAGGTAGAGAAAGAAAAGAACCACATGTGCTTTCAACTTTTCATGAATGGGTTAATTCTGAAGCATGATGTACCTGCATAAGCAGAATGTTTAGTTGCTTTAAATGAAAAATGGCATTGTGAACAGATTCTGTTTGATTCAGTGTGTTTCATTTAGGCATTCTCAAAGATGCAAAGAAATATATAAGTTAAGAATTTTAACTCCCAACCACACATTAAAGTACAGTAGTCAATAATGTGGAACATTGCTCTTTACTCTGTGCCTCGGTTTTCCCACCTGAAAATTGGCACTATTAACCTCATGGGGTTGTGAACTGTAAATGTTTTTACATGTGAAGCTCTTAGAATAGCCTTCAGCACATAGTAAATACTTCATAATTGTTAGCTCTGAATATTGTAATTATTGTTGTGGCAGGTCTGTAAGTTGGCCCTTCCTGCCAGTTGGCACCACGTGACTAATAGGATGATTATTAGACAGTGTCTGGCATATAGAATGTTTGCAAATATTCTCTCTTACTACTTTTACTACAGAGTGTTCCTAAGTAATACTTTTTTAGCATGTTGTGGATTATTGTTGTTTGTTTGTTTGTTGTTGAGTTGGAGTCTCATGCTGTTGTCCAGGCTGGAGTATGGTGACATTATCACAGCTACCGCAGCCTCAACTTCTGGGCTCAGGGGATGCTTCCACCTCAACCTTCCAAGTAGCTGGGGCTGCAAGCACATACCACCACACCCCGCTTGTTTTTTTGTCTATTGTGGAGACCAGGTCTTGCCATGTTGCCCAAGCTGGTCTCTAGCTCCTGGGCTCAGGCAGTTCTCCCGCCTCTGCCTCCCAGGGTGCTGGAATTACAGGCGTGAGCCACATGTCCAGCCCGGCAATTCAGATTTTTAATTCAAGCTTACCTTCGTCTTGATTTGTCAGAATTAATGGGGCTTTATTGTGCCAGACAAGTCCCTAGTTTAGAAAGAATAGCCTAAATTTGACTTTTAAGTTAGGAAAATATAAGATATCTTAAAAAGATTAAAGAGCTTTTGAAAGAGAAATAACATAGGAAGCAGCCTGTTTTCAGTATGATTTAGTTTTTCCATTATGAGAATATTTTTAATAAGCTATTCAAAATAGAATATATTATCATTGAATTGTATAAGAAATGTATTATATTTGAATTTTGTAAGAATAATAATACATCAATCATCAAATGTTCATGTAGCTCTCTACGAACTTTTGACTGCTGTCCTTCAAAATTTTGTTTTCCTTTAAAACTCGAACTTCTATAAAATGGATTCTTTTATTCTGATCTCTTTCACAGGCCATCGAGAAGTATTGCCGAGTCAGTGGCGGGTTTTCTGGCGTTAAGGATGTGTATTCCTCTACTCCCACACATGATGATGTACAGCAGAGCTTCTTTCTTGCTGAAACATTAAAGTGAGTAGATCCCTTCATTTTTTTTTTTTAGATGTAGGCTGGTTTTGCTGTATGCTCACTCGATGATGAACTATGACTATGTGATAGGTTACACTAAAGTTTAATATAATTTTTTTACATAATTGGGTCTGTAAATTTGTAGCTGTATCTCAAGAAGAATGACAGACTATAAGGTAGATGTTTTATCAAATAAATATTTAGTGCCTTTTAATTATTTTGTTCTTGGCTCTATAGTGTACGTTAAAATTACCTGAAAGGCTTTCTCAAAGCACAGGCAACTGGCCCGTACCCTCAGAGTTTCTTTAGATCTGTGTTGGAGCCTGAGAATTTGCATTTCTAACAAGCTCCCAGGTGATACTGATAACGATGGTCCTGGTACCCACCTGAACTCCCTGCTCTACCTAATGAAATCTGCTAGAAATAATCATGGAGTTTTGATGGTACTAAATGATACATGGCCATAGCCACCCATCCTTTTAAAGAGGTTTCCCATGAAGATACACATAAATGCAGGGAACAATAGAAAATAAAATAGATACCGTCATTATTTGGGCTTATACTCAAAATCCCAGGTAGGCCTCTCTATAAACTGACCTAGAAGAAAGTGGAGACCACAAATGTGTCCACTTCCCTAAAGACCAACAAAGTAAATATCTCTTCATACTCTTTGTTAAATTTCTTATTTGTATTCCTTGTATGTCTGTACCTGAATGCCTCATAAACCTTTCATTTGTTCAACAAATATTTATGACCAGACACTATGTAAGTCACTTGGGGATATATCAGTAGGCAAAAATTCCTGCCCTTCTGGATTTTACATTCTAGTATACTTGTTTACATTCTGTATATTACAGTTGAAATGTATGTATTTAAAACTATTCTAAATATCCATCTCATTCCAATTTGTATTTTATTAGTCCTATTACTGTTGTTTTCCTCTCTTTTCAGCATATACATTATAGAGTCATTTCTGTGTCCTCCTTCTAATATATGACAACGTCTTTAATGCTTCCACAATCCAGGATCATGGGATCATTGTTGTAGTTTATCGTCGTGTCTCTCTAGATTCCTTTCATCTAGAACAGAGTTTCCCTGTTTGTTTGGTTTTTTTTTTTGTCTTTTATGAAGTTGACAGTTTTAAAGTCTTTAGGCTAGTTGCTTTAACGAATGTTCCTCAATTTAGATTTTCTTATTGTTTTCTAATTATCAAATTTAGGTGAAACATGGCAGAAGGGATATGTCCTTATCATTGCATCCTATAGAGAGGTAAATGTAGCAGTTTAGCCCATTATTGGCAGTTTTAAGTTTGGTCATAGGTTATATTTGATTATTGTCATATAAACAATCTTTTTTTATTTTTGTGATTAATAAGTTATCTGTAGAGTGATAACTTTTAGATTGTGTGAATATTTTTTTTTTTTTTGAGTTGGAGTCTCACTCTGTCGACCAGGCTGTTCTTTTATTTGTAGATTCTAGCCTTAAATCATCCTGATTTACATTCAAATACTTACATATCTATAAAATTTATTCTATTGCATTTAATTGCCCATTTTATATTTCACTGCTTCTAGCAGGAATACGTTTTACCCTTGCTGTCGGTAGTGCCTCTCTCATTTCTAATTTTGGTTCACATCTCACCTCTGACAGACTGACTTGCATGATTAGTTTCCAAATGCCTCATTAATAGACTCTGACCCCTTTAGTTTAGCACATGGTGTAGGATTAGAAATAGATGGTATGCTGCTTCGTCCCCTTTCTCTATCTATATGGAATACCACCAGTTAATCTTGACACTTTTTCCAACTGAATTCAGGCAGAATTCTTCTCAGCACAGCAGTACTTTAGATAAGCAGTCATTCACATGTATGCATTTGCTAAAGTATTTGCTTTCAGAAAAACATACACATTTGGATCAGTGAAAGTGAAAAAGTTCAAACAAGAAGAAACATACAGATAATTATAATACACCAAGGCTAAAAAAATCATCACAATTGAGTAGTACATTCAATATTGAGCTTCCTGGAAGCTTAGAAGGAATCATTCTGCAGTATCAGCATCACCTTTGGGAATTGGGAGAGCATATTACTTTAACAAGTAAGACAAAATTTTTCATACTGTTAAATTTTAAGGTGACTTAAATTGTGCATCTCTATAAAAAATATTTAACTATTGTGTGAACCATATGAAACTGCCCTTCTATATCCTGAAATCATATGAATATTGGCAATTTCATATGGTTCAACCTAATATATTATTGTAATGGTAAATATTTTCATACAGTGATATTAGAGAAGATGCAGAAACACCGTTAATATAACTTATTCTTTATAAAAAACTAGTGGCATAATGCTAAAATGCAGTCGAATAAAGTCATTTCTGAGATCTAAATTAACACAGTTGTAGGTTTATATTTTTCTTATTATAAAGATAGAGCTTAAAACTTTTACAGAGGAATGAAGATTAGTATGACCCCTTAAACTTTTCTCAAATATTAGCTAATTCATATAGACTTTGACAGAAGCTAAGTAACTGTTAATTTAATATTGTATATTCTATTAAGTAGTTAAAGTTTTTTGTTAATTCATTAAAAGGCAACAACCCAAGTGTTTTAGCTACCAGAGAGGGACATTGATTGGCATGGCAGTAGTAAAGTTAAATGAAGAAACCTCTATTCTTGACCCAAACTGAAAGCCATTTTACCTTTCACATGTTGTCACTGTGCTATACTGTCGATTAGCTGTAGCTGTGGATCTACTTTTTTTCCCAGAAGACAAGGGGCCATGAGCTCTGCTTCTTTTGCTTCCCTCGTAGCCCTTGATTGATAGCATACACGCTGATGACAGAACCAGAGCTATGTAATGATGGTCAGAAATTGAGTCCTTCAAAGCTTCTTTTCTTTCCTTTTTTTTGATTTTATTATCCCTATTACTGTTATTTTCTGTTGGAGGCGACGATGAGCCATGATTGTGCCCTACACTCTGGCCTGGGCAACAGAGTGCAACCTTGACTCCAAAAATAAAAAATAAAAAATCCTACAAAAAAAGAAAACATCCCAGAACTGAGGGATGTTTCCAGCTTAAAAGAAGCCATTAAGATTCAAGCACGGCAAATGAAAATAGACCCACACAAAGGACAGCACCATGGAATTGCAAAACCCCTGGGGTGAAGGAAAGATCTAACAGCTTCCAAAGAGAGAGAGATTAAAAGTCCTGTAGATCTGAGTTAAGAGTGGCTTCAGACTTCTCAAGAACAGTCATGAAAGATAGAAGCAGTAGATCAGTTCATTCAAAATTATGAGAGAATATTGATTCCATCCTAGAATTCTAAGTTTTTAGCCATGTCTCAAAAATCTATTTCCATGCCCTCTTATTCAGTAACTTTTTTGAGGGTACGCTTTCTGAAAGCAGGATATAAACGCAAAGGAAGACACAAATGCAGAGAACAAGTGAAAGGAAAATTAAGAGAATAATCCTTATAGCTTGATGAGAACAGAGGCTCTGGTAGAGATTTCTTCAAGATTAAATTTATAGAATATTTATATCTGTTTAAAAAAATTTTTGAGTTGGCATCTTCCCTTGTCACCCAGGCTGGAATGCACAGTAACAACTCACAGCAGCCTCGACCCCTCCTGGGTTCAGGTGATCCTTCTGCCTCGTCCTCCCATAATGCTGGGATTATAGGCATGGGCCACTGTACCCGGCCTATATCTAAATATCTTGGGAGGCAATTTAGGCAGTTGATGAAGATTTGAGGTGCATTATTAGTAATAAATGCAAGTTAGCCTGCTTTTCAGGTGAGGGGAGGAATTATACAAGAAAAGAAAAAGCATGGCTAGCCTTCAGCTGACATGAAATTGCTTGAAGACACTTGCTTGGAGTCCTGATTGTTTTTTTGTTTGTTTTGGTTTTGGTTTTTTGGGTTTTTTTTGAGTTGGAGTATCCGTCGCCCAGACTGGAGTGCAGTGGCTGCTCCCAGTCACCACAGCCTCTACCTGCTGGGTTCCGGCGATCCTTCCGCCTCAGCCTTACAGGTAGCTGGAACTACAGGCGTCCACTACCATGCCCGGCTAATTTTTTTTTTGCTTTATTGTAGAGATGAGGTCTCGCCAAGTTGCCCAGGCGGGTCTCGAACCCGCGGGCTCAGGCAATCCACTCACCGCAACGTCCCAAAGGCATGGGATTACAGGCTGAGCCACCGAACCCGGCTCTGATTGTTTTAAGAATGGGAAAATGTTACTCTGTCACATTTCCCCAATTGCAAGAAAGAGAAATATGTTCTTTGACAATGGCTTTGTTCCCTCCAAGAATTGTCTGTTCATTGGTTTTAGTGAAATAGCAGTTTATCAAAAGTCTCTTATGCTAAAAGAATTCCAAGGAATGTAGCAGATAGGACACCAAGACTCCTGGGAGCAGTTCTCAAGCTGCAGTCCTTGAATGGCTTAACAAAAGTCTCCCATTTGGATTTTCCTTTTTTTATTTTTTTGAGTTGGAGTCTCACTCCATTGCCCAGACTGGAGTGCAGTGGCCGCTCCCGGCCACCGCAGCCTCGACCTGCTGGGCTCCGGCAATCCTTCCGCCTCAGCCTTCCAAGTAACTGGAACATGCCTGGCTAATTTTTTGATTTATTGTAGAGATGAAGTCTCGCCAAGTTGCCCAGGCGGGTCTCAAACCCGCGGGCTCAGGCAATCCACTCACCTCAGCCTCCCAAAGCGCGGGATTACAGGCTGAGCCACCGAGCCCGGCTTGGATTTTCTATAGTTCTATCACTTTGTACCATATACTCATAAATCAATTCTTCTTAACAAAAACTTTGAAAGAGGAGTCTGTTATTTTATATCCATACCTCAGTGTCTGTACCCATTCACCTAAATCTGTCATTGAATTAGGCTTTCATTGACTCTCAGCTCAATTCTGTTACATATTTACTTGAAGATTTAGAAAAGTATACATGATACATTCAACCGTTTTTTTCATATATAGCAGACATTAGACTGCTAAGGG